CGAATGTTTCTTGAGAGGGTACACCCACGAAGTATTAGCTTTTGAAAATGGAGGAAATGATGTGGATAGAACTTGTGCACAAAACATAATAAGTTAAATTTACGTTTAACCAATTCAGTTGTGCAAAATACGAGTTAATGTGATCATACTTTCGAAGGTTAAAAAACGTTTCACAAATACAGAATCTGAAAATGGATGATATACGAAGTCGGAGTGGTAATTTTTGACATTATTATAGTTTTTTAATACTAAAATCCCCTATTAAGATATAATTGACGTAGAACAGCAAAGCGTCTTTTAGTTATGTTATTTACGTGAGGCATGTACTTAAGGTTCCCGTCAAAGGTAATATGATCTGCTTTAGAGTGCGAGTATGCAAATACACTGAGCTTAACTTTCCAGACCAACTCAAAATTATGAATGAAATGTAGAAAAACCTAATATACAGGTCTCTACTCAAGATTCTCAGCATAGGTATGTTTACATGCCCTCACCACACAACTGCGCTCCCACGGGGGGGTAAAGGGGGTAATTGCCCAATTACCCCCCCGACGACTCGAGCAGTCTATGAAAAGATGGTATAAAGTAAAGGTCTTATAAAAAAATTCTAACTTTAAGAAAGGATAGTGGCAACACTGCCAACCCGCTCAGTGCGCATGCGACTAGCGACTACTCTCCCACCAATAGCAACGGTGTGCGCTTCTTCCTGTTGGAACAGGTATAGTCTAGTCTTTTATGGTCTAGTCTAGCGTCTAAATGCTGTACCAGTCCGGAGTCCGCAACAAAATTTGGCTGAGAAGTGAACAAGCGGAGTTTTGTTGACCTGGTTGATATTAACGCTATATTCTATGTTCTATTGTTTTTTTATTTTCCACGCATGAGCCAGAAAATTAATTTTTATTTATTTTTAACTTTTATACTGTAAAAGAATCGTATCTAAAAAAAATACAGACGGAAAAATGGAAATTTAATATAATACAAGGTGTTTGGTCCATACTCCAGCTATCATTATCATCTATGTCTATTTTGTCTCGGAAGTCCCTGTATATAAGCACTTCAGTGCATTTCGTTCGTACGAGATGGCAAATTATATATTTAGTTTTTGAAAATTGCGTGAACTTAAGAAATCTTGTTTTCCAAACAGAAAACGTTCTTTGTTATGAGATACGTGAATGCGAGGAAACCAATAATTCCGTTTATTTGACAATATTCGTGTAACTTTTAGTGCTGGTTGACGGCTGCTGTTGTCAGGATGAGTAAAAGGAAACAGAATACCATCGATTGGTTCCTTTCTAAACAAAACAAACTGTCTGATCCACCGGCACAAGAATTACCGGAAAAATCTGATGATAATCCTACAATTCACCCTGAGCCTTCCACTTCAAAATTTCTTGATGTTGCATCGTATGCTGCACCAAGTGTTGAACAATCGGGTGCGAAACCTAAAGGATCCAATTTTGTTGATATTGCGCCATATGTAAATTTCAACGGCAACTTGTATTACCATGAAAAATATACTTTATTGAGGTGTGCAATGACTCTTTCATATATCCCTATTCCACACACTTGAAAAATAATAAGGAAGTGGAATGTTACTTATCACAAAAACACTTTGAGAAATTTCCTTGGCTGTCATATTCAGAGGAACTACAACGGCTTTTCTGTAAATATTGCGTGTTTTTTTCAAAATTAGGAGGAGTACATAAATCGACTAATTTTCGAAATTGTATGGCAAAACCGGTGATTGTGAGACACATGAGAACTCAATATATCATACAAAAGCAGTTTCAGATGTTACAAACTTTTTAAAGATTTACGAAAATCCAGAGAATGATATAAGAAATAGAATAGGTTCAGAGCGAATTAAGCAAATATCAGAAAATCAACAAAGATTGACTCGTATAATAGAATCAATAATTTTTTTAGGGCGCCGAAATATACCACTTTGAAGGCATAGAGACAGGGGACGACTTTTTTCTAATGACACCACGAATGACGAAGATGTCCTTAATAATGAAGAGAATTTTAGAGAACTAAGACGGTTGAGAGTCGAGAGCGGCGACAATTAATTGAAAAAAAAACTTAGAGAACTCAAGAGCGCATGCTGCGTACATAAGCAGCCGCATCTAAAATGAAATTATAGAATGTTGTGGCGAAGAAATCTTTGATATAGTTTTAAGTCGCGTCAGGCAAAGTAAGTATTACAGTATTATATTTAACGATACTACAGACATTAGCCATAAATCACAAATGTCAATCGTATTGCAGTATTGTTATTAAATACATATTTACGAGGACTTCATGGGATTTGTGGATTGCTACTCAAATTTTGATGAAGATACAAACTCATAGGTCAAATTCTTGCTCAAACAGTCAAACATTTCATTAAATCTAATAACTTAGATTCAAAACTATGTGTGGGCATTTTTACTGATACGTGTAACCTAATGTTAGGTGAACAGAAGGGCGCTGTAATGGAATTGCAAAAATGTTTGCCAAATGCTCTAAAAAGCCCATACGCAAATCATGCGTTGAATCTTTCGATCTCAAAAAGCAGCAGTGTCCAAGCAGTAAGAAATACTGTAGGTATAATGAAGGAAGTAATTGCGTTCTTCAAAGCATCCGCTAAAAGAAATACAGTATTAAAACAAGACGGATATCAAATTCATAGTATGTACGAAATACGATGGACCGAGAAACATGATTATGTGCTCCAATTTGAAAAAAAAATCGAGAAAATTGTAGAGGTACTAAATATTATATCAAATTGGAAAGACCGCGAAACTCCTTCAAAAACGGAGCCTTTAAAGACTGCCCAATAATTCATCGTATCACTAAGGTGTTTGTGTAATATATTAGCTTTAACAGTCAACCTGAGTTAGATTTTAAAATCAAAACCAATACTCTGTCAAACTCATAGGTAATATTATTTCAATTGTACAAGAAAGACGCGCAAATTCCGAAAAACACTTTTCGCATCTATAATGAAATCACATGAAACCCTGGGTATTGACTGTGCCAAGGATAACAAGCAGGCATAGTTACGTCTGACAAGGAAAATCATTACAGACTGAACCTATATGTCCCTTTGCTAGATAATATATTACAGGATTTGGTATACCGGTTCGATGAAGAATTTTTGAATATATACAATTTTAATATTTTCTTTGTGTCAGTATTTAATTCAAAAACTGAAGCTGAAGTAATGGAAATATTAGAAACAATCTCTAAATATTTGCATGGACTAAATAGTAACGAAAACAAAAATTTAATAAGTACCAGATTAAAAGCAAAATTTGACCTTTGGAAGTCGCGTACATAAGATATTATGGAAAGTCACTGTATTTATCATGTGATGAAAACATTTTTCCTTCAACTAATAGATGCCTACAATTATTGATTTCATTGCCGGTAAGTGTTGCGACATCTGAAAGAAGTTTCTCCCATCTAAAGAGGATAAAAACTTGGCTGCGCTACACTATGTTACAAGAGCGATTATTGGGTTTAGCTCTTTTGTATATGCATAGTGATATTAAAATAGACGTGAATACAATGATAGATCGGTTCGCCAGCAAAAGGAATAGGCGCATTGATTATGTAATATGATAACACCTGTACTTTGCCTAAGGTTGTCTTTCAAATCCATCTTCCGTCTGTTGGTCAATAATTAAAAAAGCAAATGTAGTTAGGGGTTTAAACCACCACGGTGATGTTTTCCAAAGTATCCAATCAAGGTATGTGGTTTTATTTATTGGCCAGCAGATTGACTTAAAAATCTGTTCAAATTCTGTTCAAACCACTCTAAACTAATGTAATTATTGTTTTATTTTGAGACTGTGAACTAATGTAGTTTCATAGTTTAAATGTTTTTGTTTGTTTTTGAGACTGGATAAGAGAATGTAGTTATGCAATGATTATTTTTGTGTTTTCCTCATGATTAAAAATTTTATTTTGATTTACGTTCAGTTTTATACTTTATAGAAGTCGTAACACATTTGTTATTGTTATTTTTCTCATGAAGATGTATTTTTTGTTGTTTTGTCTGACATTGTTATGTAGAAAAGTCTGTGATAGATTATATTATTTTGCATTTTTGTTTTAATATATGAAGATTGTTCGAGCTTGGTTTGCTTTATTTACACTTTGATTTCGTATGATTCAAAATAAAATAAAATCTATGTATTTTCTACAGAAATTACTGTAACAAATTCATACGTCTGCATATGTCCATGCTTTTAATGTTAAATCATTATAACACTTCAGTACGTCACACTGAGAATTTACTTTCCATTTTACCCCTCCCAGACTGAAATCCTGGGAGCGCCACTATCACCAGAGCCCTAGATTAGGTTTAGTTATATAACGTACATGTATGTATACATCACACAATAAAACGCCAGCTCCGGGACTACATTTTAGACTTTTGTGGATTTTAAAGATAATTTCAAATTGGTTCGGAAGGTTAACTTTCAAACCAAATTCCCGTTTAAGCAGAACTCTTGTTGTTGTAGAAACAAGCATCGTTCATTTTCTTTTAGTACACAGTAATAAATATTCCAAAATTCTGCTCAAAAGTTGTTGATTTTGATAAAATACAATAAGTTAAACAAAAATCGCTCCTGGATTTCAACCGCGCGATTAGTCTTACTAGTCTTACTAGTCCCAGGTAACTTTGATACTGTTCAAAATTTCATCAAAATCGATTTAATAGTGCCTGAGATATCTATAATATTTTGGTATGAACCGTTTCATATTACACTATGTCTATTTCCTGAAGAATATATCTTCAAGGTAGACAACAGGCTGTTTAAATGGATTTGTATACAGACTGTAAATCAGATTGAAGCTATTCATATTACGTTAGCTTCTGGGTAATTTGCGTCACAACATCAATTTATCAAAAGAGATTCAGGAATTCGTTTAAGTTAAGGGTGACATGAAAATCTTTCAAAATAAAGTTCGACAAACGTTCAAACTTATAACTCATCATAGAAACTTACAGCATCCAAAGCAGATTGCACTTCAGCTTCACTAGTGGTATCTAATGCTGAGGTAGCTTCGTCTAGCAATAGTATATCAGGCTTCCTGACAAGCGCCCTTGCTATGGCTATCCGCTGCTTTTGTCCACCCGAGAGTTGTGCTCCCCTTTCTCCGATTAGTGTCTGGTAACCATTTGGCAAGTTGATAATGAACTTATGAGCGTTTGCTTTCTTTGCTGCCTCTTCAATTTCTCGTTGAGTAGCGTCCAACTTGCCGTACCTAGAAAGTTGTAAATTTTTATTTGATTGTAGTCAGTTGAATACTTAGGTACTTGGATAATGGATATGCACCGTAAAAGCTAAAAAATCCGAACACCCAGTTTAAATGGTTTTATTTTAATAAAATTTTGTATAAGTACGTAATGAAGCATAATAAGTAAATGATAAAAATTTCAAAATGATTGCACTGCTTTAAAGCCCTTTGACCTTTAGTAATGTGTGGATGCACCCTGATGTGCTACGCATTCTCCAACGCGCCTAGGCATGCTTCTGATTAGGTGGTCACTGTCCTCCTGTGGTATCTCATTCCAGGCAACCACCAACTCCTCTCGAAGTGCTTCTAGAGTCTGAGGAGGACGTTGCAAATTGAGCAATCTCCTACCCATCATATCCCACACGTGCTCAATTGGGGATAAGTCGGGAGATCTTGGTGGCCATGGTAACAATGTGACATCATTATGTTGAAAGAAGTCTATTGTGACTCTTGCAACATGTGATCGGGCATTATCTTGTTGGAAAGTTGGATCTGCCAGGGTGTCAAGATAGGGTAAAAGATGGGGTTCTAGAACTTCGTGGATATAATGCTGCGCGTTCATGTTACCTCTGATGAAGATTAAAGGTGACCTGGAACCATAAGCTATAGCACCCCAAACCATAACTCCAACAGTGTGATGAACATGTCTTTCAACAAAAAACTGTGGATTTCTCCTTTCACCACGTCGCCTTCTAACCCTGGCACGACCATCGTGCATGCCTAAACAAAATCGAGACTCGTCACTAAAGACAATACTGTTCCATTCCTGATCCCAGAGTGACCGTTGTCTGCACCACTCAAGGCGATTACGTCGGTGTTCTCGAGTTAAAGTGAGGACCCAGTGTGGCCGGTATGAAAACAAGCCAAAACTTCTCATTCGTCGGTAAACACTTCGCATGCCAATAGGTCTTCCGTGTTCTGCAAACCATTCATTTGCAATGGACCTGGTAGTGGAGAAACGGTCCCTTAAGGCCAATAATCTTAGGCGGCGATCTTCACGGTCTGTTGTTCTACGGCGGCGTCCAGTGCCCCTTGCTCTTTGCGTACGGCCTTCTCGAAGCCATGCCTGACAACACCTAACCACAGTGTCTACACTTCTTTGCACTCTAACTGCAATTGCCCGAAAAGAAAGTCCAGCTTCCCGAAGTCCCACTATACGGCCCCTATCAAACTCACTAAGTTGACGAAATCGTACAGGTCTCCGTACTCTAGGCATCGAAACCGATCGTAAAGGATGTCAAGAATCAAAATCCGCCAACGTTGATTCTTTACTGCGGCTGAAATATTCATTTTTAGAGCGTTAGTGAATTAAAAAAAAAGCAGTATAAAAATTTTTTCACTTGTTATTTACAGTAAGATAAATACATTCACCAACTTTTATTAAAATAAAACCATTTAAACTGGGTGTTCGGATTTATATGTCACTTAGTATATGTATGTAGTAGTAACAGTATCTAGTAATACTGTTTACATATTTCAATATACATTCACAACTAACTAGAAAGTTTGTGCATGCCCACATGGGTGTTTTGAAGTTTCTTCCGCCTCTCTTTTATTTTAGCACTTCTTTCAAAGCCCAAGGTTCTCAATTTTAGCATTTTTGTGTAAAGTTCACCTATTTTGGGACACTAACTCGCTATTTTTTTTTGAGCGCATAGTTATGACAGTTTCTACTTCAAATCGATAAATCGAAATCGAAATTTTGAACAAAAATTCCAGGATTACCAGCTTTTAAAGAGCAATCAAGTCGTAAAATAAAAAACTCTGTGAAAGCTCAAAATACATATATTTTGGAATATGTACGAGTAAATGTAAAAATTTCTTAGATGCAATCAACGTGAGGTTTGACTTATTTCCATATCCAAAAAAAAACCCTCTTATGGACCCTGATCCTTTTTTATTATTCCATTTATCATTTACTTTTTATTATTATATTTATATATTATTATTCGGTCGTTTCTGCTTGTTTACTTGTTGAAACTTGGTTACCGAATCATGAGGTAGAAGGAATCATGTGATTCGGGTACTCTGACTATATCTGTATTGTTACTATGAAAGGTAGAGAAGTCGCATTTTTTTTATTCCTTACTTAACATTATAGAATTTTAAGGCAGTATTCCTAATATTGAATATTTTTGCTTTATGCATTAATACAGTTAACGACGAGGACGTGGCGATTGAGAATTTTCGCAGGTCTGATACTAACACATTCATATTCCAACTCGATCTCCTGCAAAAGAACTTGAAAAATATTAGAATAATCATTTGCCGTAATTTCAATATGATCTTTGATCCATCGAACTTGGATTACTCAGCAAGAAGAGAGACAGTTTCGAAGTCATTGAATAAAACTCAGCAGATCTGGAATTATATCCGCGTTTCCAGCAGCTCTAAAAGAACTATACAATATAATATTCTTTACCAGCAGCTCTAAAAGAACTATACAATATAATATTCTTTACCAGATTTTTGAGCACTACTTGCAGCTTGCTAGATACTATGGATATCGCGGACCAAAATAAAGACATTGTCTATTACAGAAATTGTAACTTTAGTAGGCTCCAAGATTTCGAAATATCTAAGTTACTTTTCCGCGAAATTTTATAAGATTCGCGATATGTTTGTGAATATCTTTGATACGCCTTCCCTGTAAAAGTTGACAGAAAACAATTCTTATTGTAAAAATAAATATGTAACCAGTGACTTAATCAGGGCAAGCCAATTTTTATGGAAGCTACAGCTTCTAAAATTTGCTGTGATAATGACGACTCGCAACAGAACATTATTCAAGGATTACAAAAGAGAATTGTTGAATGCAAAAAGGTTGTGTCGTGACCATAAAATAATATCCTCTAACAATAAATGTAAATCAGCTTAACAAATGTTTAATGAAAATGCGAAATCCTCACACTGCCATGGAAATGTATTTGAGGATACTTTTAACGGTACTTTTATCAGTTCAACAAATGAATTCTCCGAGTTTCCCAAAATCGGTCTGCAAAAGCCCGATTATACAGAAAAGCACGTTTTTAAAGCCGGTACCGTATATCCAAGAAAAGTTCATCCGGATGTCGTAACAAACCATGTTCTTTTTTACAGAAGATATTTTGAAAAGATATGGTACCATTCACTGTACTAACGAATTTGTCATTTTTGAAAGAAGTAGTTCCCAATAAACTAAAATACTCGATTGTCATACCACCTCACAAGAAAGAAAATAAAAGCCTTGGAAGTAATTACGGAGGCATCATTCTACCATTTATTTTTTCAAAATCATTTGAAGAAGCATTTTATGATAAAATGTCTGATTATATTCCCAACCATAACAATAAAAGGAATATATCTACAAAGGATGCAGTAATATCTCTAATAGAATTTATTTATTTATACTAGATTGTCTTGAACAACAACCAGAGGCAGCCTCTTCATGGACTTAAGTCGCGCCTTTGATGTTGCCGATCATAACCGGTTACCTTATAAGCTAAACTTTTATGAAACCAGAGGCACTGCCTTGAATTGGATTGAAAGTTATCTTAACAAAGGGGACAGAGGGTCAGTACTAATAATGGCGTAAACAAACTTCCATTCGATCGGGTGTCTGCGAAAGGTTGGGAAATCTCGAAACTGGAGATACTACAGATCGAAATATGTGAATTGACCTAAACATGCCTCAGTCCAAAAGTTGATAGTTTGCGAGATCAGGGAGTCAAAGTTACAATTTTATTTTCTATTTTTCCTTATTGCTTGAGAAGTATTTCAGAGTTTGCCATAAAACTCGGTTTATGGAGGCTTTCTAGTATGAGAAACAAAGATCCGTTATTTTTTATGACCACACTTCTACAGGGCGCCACTTACAGCACTATTTCGGTAGATAACTTATAATAACTTTTTTGTGCTACCCTGTATACAACAACTGACCAAAAAATGTTATTTTCTCGCATTTCCACAACAACAAAGGTTCACTTGCTAAAAGTGTCTAAAGCTAATAGTTTTCGAGATATTTGTTTTTAAAGGTTCCAATGCATTATTTGTACCATGGTGATAAAACATTTTCATAACATGATAATCAAGTTGCTTTGGATAATATCTGAGTAGCATTGCTATGGTTTCTAATGTTTATCATAATATTGCTTTAAACTTCATGAATAATTTTAAGTTGACAATAAGTATTTAAACATCATGGAGTATACGTTTGATGAATATCCTGATATGCATTTAATGTACGGATTGTCATGATGTGATGCTAAAAGCATGAAGATTGTATGCTAACAGATTCCCTGATAGACACCTGCCTAATTCAAAGACTTTCCAACAGATCGATCAGCGGTTACGAGAAACTGGTAAGAAATGATTATAGCCTTATTTTGAGAATTTGGATTTTAGGTAGTTTTGCTCAAAATATGGGCCGACAGTGGAGCTCCCAGAAGTCTACGTACAGCTGAAATTGAAGAAAATGTCTTAGATGCTGTCTTAGAAAATCCTACAGTTGGGGTTAGGAATATAGGAGAATTTGAAGTTTCCATATGTACAGTAAATACCATTTTTCAAGAACAACTGCTTCATCCATACCACCCTCAAAAAGTACATGGTTTAAGGGCGGATGATGAACCCGCAAGGGTAGAATTTTGTACATGGCTCTTAAGGAAGTTTAACCACGACAATGGTTTCACTTGGTTAATATTATTTTCGGACGAAGCAGGATTTGGAAGGAATGGGCCCATTAACTCGCATAATCTTCACATTTATGCAGACGAAATTCCTCATGCAATAATACAAAACCGCCACCAACTACAATTTCAAATTAATTTATGGGCAGGAATAGTTGGACAATATTTAATAGGACCCGTTGAGTTACCACCTAGACTAAATTACCCACTCTGCTGGAAGATCTTCCATTACCAACACGCATGAATATGTGGTTTATACACGACGGCGCTCCACCTCATTTTAGTATACTAGTTAGAGAGCACGTAAATAAAGTTTATCTAGAGCAGTGGATAGGCCGATCAGGACCTGTATCGTGGCTGGCTAGATCACCAGATTTAAATCCTATGGATTTCTTCTTGTGGGGTGATTTAAAACGACGCGTTTGCAATACGCCAGTGGAAACTGTAGATCATCTTGGACATAGAATTTTCCACCATAGCCAGGAAATGAAAAATAACATCCAAATGCTTTTAAGAGTGCAGCAAGGATTAGTTCGTCGAGTTCGAGAATGTGTTAGGCAATGCTCATTTTGAACAATTTTTGTGGTTATTATTTCCGTTTATTAATTTACCATATCAGCGCTACTCAGATATTATCCAAAGCAACTTGATTATTATGTTATAAAAATGTTTTATCATCATGATACAAATAATGCAATGGAACTTTTAAAAACAAATATCTCGAAAACTATTAGCTTTAGAAACAAGATTTTTTGGTCAGTTGTTGTATACTGAGTAGCACAAAAAAGTAACGGAAATAAGCAATAAGGACAAATAGAAAATAAAATTGTAACTTTAACACCCTATATCTCGCAAACTACCAACTTTTGGACTGAGGTATCTTTAGGTCAATTCACATATTTTGGTCTGTAGTAGGTATCTCCAGTTTCGAGATTTCCCAACCGTTACATGAGTATCTCAGGGTAACTTAGCGGGTCCTTTTTTATTTTTGTTATTCATCAATAATATTCCTTCCCTCATGACACCGCATATTGTCACACTTTTCGCAGATGACACGACAATAGGCGTTAGTTCTGGTTACCCACAACAATTGAGTAATAAGCTTTCAGATGCTTCGGATCAAATGAGATTATTATAGGAATAATGGTTTGGTACTAAATTAATTTAAAAATCAAGTGATGCAGTTTTCTCTACTGGATGTTGACATTTTTATTGAGAGTAACCAAGTTGAAAAGGTGCAAGTTGTGTAGTTTTTTGGAATACTGTTGGATTCAAAGCTCAATTGAAAAATCACATAGGCTCACTCATCAACAAGATTTCCAAGCACTGTTTTGTCATGTGGATATCGAGAGAAGTGATTAATATTGAAGTCCTGAAAATATACTATTACGCCTACGCGCATATTCAATCGTTACTGAACTTTTCTTATATATACTATACTATACTCGTATATGTACTATACTAGGAAATAATGTATGTAGCAATAATGAATACTTTTCAATATATCTCGGTGAATACACCGTAAAATTCCTAGAAAAAGATGCTATCAGATACATGATGTCCTTTTTTTCGGACCATATAAAAAAATAAAGTTGATGATGGTTGCTCAAAAACGAACTGTAAGACGCAAAATTAGAAAACAGCATCAGGAAATGCCTGAAAAATATCAATAGAAAAGTTCGGTTAGTTTTTTGATACTTCTTAAAATAAAGCCAGAAAAAATAAAAAAGATTTGGCCAAATCTAAGTTTTCCCAAATACCTCAAAGTTTCTCAACGCCATATAAATACACCCCATAGAACGCAACTTTTTCCTATTTTAACATAAGCTGTATCTACCACAGGTATTGAGATCCCCATGCACAGGATCCTTATCTTGGACACCCTGTTTACCTGTATATCTTATTTGTATACATTTTTCTAACGTAAACTTAAATGTCTGTGTGTTCCTTTAATTATCTTACTCCGTGTTAACTTACTTGTTATACCAATATTCTAAGGGCTGCTAAAGACTTTTTTCAAAAATTGAACTTGATACGGAAACGTGAAAAACAAATTAGTAATCTCTTTCCCAATACCATAAATGGTCAACCATTACCGTCATTCTAGAAAAAGTACAGCTGTATCTTGATACCTGATATTTTCTGCTATTGTGGTTGCGAAAAGGGCTGGTTCTTGGCTGACCACTGCCATCCTGGATCGTAGCCATGTTAGGTTCATATCCTTGATACTTATATTATCGATGAATATCTACAAATATACGGAAAAATCACTAAATCAAGGTTTGGCATGGGCAATATTCCTAACCTAGCTCGTGTCACTTTTTTATTAAATTGAATATAATAATAATCAAAAATAGTAATAATAATAAGTTTGTTCACGTATTGTACAAACACAATGCTAACAAATCTGCAATTATTCATGTTCTGAAAGAATGATGGCAGGGAAATATACTCAGTGACATTAGAAATGTTATACCCAGAAAAAATAATTTGCTCAACCTAATTTTTTGGTAATGAGGTAGACTTACATCAAGAATGAAACGACAACATTCTCACGTAATTCTATTGCTAAAAATTAGAAAAAAATAATGTGTTGGGCGACCCCGCAGCTGAATACACTCCTGTATACTCGTGTATAGGTCTAGGCATCGACAAAATGAGATGATCGATGTTTGGTTGTGGCACCTCATTCGAACAACTCGAACTTCGTGCATTAGCTGTGGCAGATTCTGTGGTGGATGGTGCAAAGTAGATTGTCTCCTCCCTATCATATCCCACACATGTTCGATGGGATTTAAATCCGGTGAACGGGAAGGTCACGACAAAACATTAACGCCTGCTTCTTGAAGAAAGTCCGTAGTACGACGAGCAATATGAAGACGTGCATTGTCTTGCTTGTGGACAGCTCACTAGATACGAAACTAAAGTGGTTTATAGGACATGGCCAACATAACGCGCTGCAGCACAAAGAGACGGGGTGATCGGCTACCATAGGCAATAACCCCCGTAACCATTACTCCAACAGTCCTGTGTACATGCCTCTCATCCCTTCTACGACCATCGTGCGTACCTAGACAGAATCGCGATTCGTCGCTGGAGATGATATTATGTCACTCTGCCTCCCAATGTTGCCGTTCTCGGCTTCAGTTCAAACTTTGACGACAGTGGTCCACAGTCAGAGGAGGCACTCACCGTGGACGGTGTGAAAAAATTCCAAAGACTCGAATGCGGCGATAGAATGTACGCATAGTAACAGGTCCACCTTCTTCTCTAAACCATTGGTCAGCGATCTGAGGCGTAGTAGCAAAACGGTCTCGTAGGGCGTATCTTGATGCTCTGGTCCGCCTCGGTGGACCAGTTTTCCCTATTCGTGGTCCTTCTTCTATCCAAACATGACACACAAGCATTACCGTCATTACAGTACAATAATTAACACGGCGGCAATAATTCTACCCATGTCAAAGTCGCTATCATGGTGATAATTTTGGATGTCTTCGAACTCGAGGCATTTTGTTATGCTTAACAGTGGTAATTGAAAGGGCAATAACTAAAAATATCTGTATTACTCAGCTCTCAGAAACTGCTTTCTTCTCAAAATCTAAGAGATTTTAACAAAGGTAAACAAAAACAAAGATAAAAGGTTGACATTGTTGCCATGCAGCAGGCTTTAAATATAGTCATTATGTTGCCAAACAAACAAGTTGAAGAAATTATTTTTTCTGGGAGCAAGACTCCTAAAGTCACTGAGTATATTATTGTTTCTGATACAAAACCAACTAGAAATTTTGAAATTACTTACTCCCCCAACTTGTGGATCATAGAACCGTTGTAGTAACTGTATGCAGGTGGATTTTCCACAACCAGAATTACCAACCAAAGCGACTGTCTCTCCATAGTTGATACGAAGATTAAATCCTTTTAAAACCTGAAATGACGAGTTTGCCTTACAATTTTTTATCATAGCTATTTTTATTCATGGAATAAAATTAATTATGAATGGTTCTACGAAAGCCACAGGACCATTCAAAATGACTAAAAAATTCTAAATTTAGATGATAAAACGTATTATTTAAAACCTTATTTCGATGAACGATTGTTACCTTTACGTCTGGTCTTGAAGGATAGCTGAAGTAAACGTTGTTAAACGAAATGTTGGATTTGAACTTAGCAGGTTTTCTTCCATTTTTTGTCTTTTTATTTATAATAGGTTCACTGTCTAATACATCAAACACCTTCTGAGCAGCACCCTTAGCTGCACCGAATGTTTCTAAGAAAGGAGTTCCCATTCCAAAGTTCCAAGTTGCTACAATCGTGGCAAAGAACACCTAGAAACACACCGAGTGTAAAAAAGTTAGCGGCACAGCTCTGTATTTTTCCAGGTAAGATAGCGTTTCCACGTCCATGAAATTCAAGTATTCCGCCCATCTCTACTCGTGCCCATCTCTAGTAAAATAACTCTCCTATGCAAATATTTCCGGACAGAACGTTCCCTTTGATTTCATCCTTTACACAGACAACACGTATTTATTGATTATTTTTTCTCCTGACGCAAATCTAGTTATGCTTATGTCTAATTAGACCAAAATGGTCATGATAGTCATTATTTAAATGGGTGATAGAAGGGGGCGGGTTAAAAGAAGCAATAAGTTTCATATAACATGGGGGTGAAAACGGCATTTTTTTAGAGAAAAAAAGCGACTTTAAAGTAAAATAAAATCTGATAACGCCGCAATGCCTCAGACCTTTTGGAGGACATGTTAAAAAATGTGTCTGGAATGCTACTTGTCGGGTAAACAGTTTGGGCATTAGTGAAAAGAGTTAATTCACAATCCAACTACTAAGACTCGCGCGTATCGATGCGTAAATCGTGACGAGCTGCCAGTGATTGCATTGTCTTGATTTTGGATTGTATTGAACCCATTCAGTTTCCAACAAAACACGTGAAAAATTCACAGAAAAGTCCAACTTTGCCATGGAAATTGTAGAAAGCAAAAAACGACTAACAAATATTATAACTTTTGCTTTACAACAATGTAATCTATTAAGAAAACGTAATAGGCAAAAATCCTATACAGATGTATGGTGAATAATTTGGTCTAATTTTTTAAGGTCCGATGCATAGCAACGGAGATAAATGAAAAGAACCGAAACTATGGGTTTGTTTAGATAACAAACTTTAAAAATGTAATGTTTATGAAACATATAGTTTCAAATCCATTCAATGGTCTTCTTTGAGATCTTAACAAAACCTCGACTACGGAACTCTCTTTGTTGGGTAAATAGTTAAGGTATTGGTGAAACGCGTCAATTCATGCTCTGACGAGTTCATAACCACGCGTTGACTGACGAGCTCACAATGATCGTATTGAGTTGGTTTCTGTTTTAAATTATGCAAAATATTATAGAAAATTTAGTTAGCCTTCGAAAACATATACAGATTTGTCAAGAAAATGTGCTTCTTCACAATCGAAGTGACCCAAAACGATCAAAGTTGGCCATAGTACGGAGTTACAGCCGGTTAAGCTTGTGGAGAGAATAATCTGGGGCTTAATTCTTAACAAAAGTACCGGCAGCCAAGGTGTGGCAGAGTGGCCTTCTATATAAAGCTAATCCAAAAGGGATTTCCTTTTTGGCTCTTATAACTTTTGAAATCATTCCTTGAAACTATGAAATTGTAGAACAAAATTAATATTGTCTTGTGAACAGGTCGGCAGATCAGAGCCGATATCCCTCAGGGTTAGGTCCTCGAATCAATCGTGTACTCACTTTTCACGATTGACGTCCCTTACCCTAGCGACTGTGAAGTTAATCTATATGCTGATGACTCTGCACTGGTGACTCAGTCGCATTCAAGGAATCTCGTTCACGACAGGTTGCAAAGAGCGATGAATGAGGTATTGGAATGGGCAGATCGGTGGCCAATTAATTATTAATTATTCGAGAACGGAAATGTATGTTGTACTAAGAAACGTAGCAGCGTCCCGCCTGAGGTTTCAGTGAATGGAAAAAATCTGCTAAGTATCCTGGTGGCACTCATGACAATAGGATTTTCTGGTAGAATCACACTGAAGCTTCAAAAATTCCAAAGTCCGTTTCGGCATCTCTACCCCAAGGTATGTAGAACTTCAAAATTAAGTTTGATTAAGAGAGTTCGGCTATACAAGATGGTTAAGACCAGAAATCACTTAAGCATGTGCAGAACCTTGCGTACCACTACTAACGCCCCATCCCAACTAACAATTATCACTCCTATTAGAGTTGCAAGAATGATTATACAGTATTCCTTACACAGCATTGTATACTGTAGGAACATTGGCAAAACCCTATTAGAACAGCTATACAAGCGGAATGGGCACTCCTAATAGGACACTTCAGTCATTTAAGACGTTGTATAAGGGCTGTAGGTAACAGTTATACAACAAAAGTGTAAGCCTCTTGCAGCCGCTATAGGACATTTGCGTCAGTGTAAGATTCAGTTTTTGTCAACTATACAACTAGTTTGTTACGTGATTCTACTTTATTGCAACCAAACTATTTCTAATGTTTTGTATAGACGAAGTGAAGAATATATAACTAACACATTACAGTCATCTTGTTTACTTACATATCGGCCATTATGAATTTCATACACAGGTATAAGATAAACTTTTACACTGTGATATAGTGCTATTGAATTACTTGCGCAGCAAATTTTATTATGATTATCGTGCAAATTAGTTACGCAATTTCTACGGGCTTCGTATTTGATTCATATTTTCATAATCATCAAAAGTATGTCTAGATTTTTAAGATGGAAAACTGACCTTATCTGCGTTAAATCTTCCACAAATCCTATATTTAGACACAATTACACTAATGTTTATCACTTTATATCTGTAATTTCGTACCGAAACATAATTATTTAATATTAAATAGAGGAATACATGTTTGCCCAATATGGCGGCTGGTTGTGTATAATCATGGCACCGTCCATGTTGTCTTTAGTTTATTAGAATATTTTGGTGTTGCCTGCAGGTGTTATACAACAATTTGACAAATGTATGAAATGAAATATACCGACAGATTCGAATGATTTACCCAGAATTTGTACCAGATCTAAATCTTCTGTTTGAACAGTTGATAAAACCTTTTGAACCCATATGCATGCGTTGTTTGTCTTAAAACTTTGGTTATGGCATTTTAACAAAAAGGTGACAGCAGAAAGTTAGGTTATGGTGAAGTTGTATACCAGCATATTTAACAACAAATGTATGCCGAGCACAGCAATTCTGTACTACAAAAGTTGTAATATTGTTGCATATGTACAGCCTTCAACAGTTACTAAACAACAGTTGTCTAAGTGCTTCCATTGGGAGCAATTTGTTTTCTAAAGTAGTAAATTTGCACAGCAAAGCAACAAGGCTCGGGTTTGTTTTATAAACGTTACCATGGATGCCACAACACAACCATTTTGACTAACGTGCAAATATGCCGTATAAAATAGTTGTATAAACGTTTATGCAACAGTTAAAAATTTGTCCTATAAGGTGTTGTATAACTATGCTATAAGAATATTGTAAACACCCCATTTTAGAGCAAATATATTGCAGAAAGCGAATTTGCATTCCACACAACATTAAGCCAGCATTTTGGTGTTCAGGCATCAACAATAGAGAGCTTTTATGGCTGAACGGTTCTTTTACCAAACGCTTATAGCACTAATTTGCTAGTTGAGATGGTATGTCTCCAACGAGAGGCGCAGTTACGTAATGGTCAAGTGGAATCGCACTTCAACCCTCTGTTGCGTGAGTCAATAGACAACAAAATCATATCGTGCAACTCTAGGTCCAAGCAAAATGACAATTTTCCCACCCATACAAATTCCTAAATTAATTTTTGGCTCAATCAATAATGACTGAAATCTAGTTAACAATACCAAGGCGCCCCTCCAACTGATGCACTTTCTCCTCTTTGCTCTTCCCCCTTCCTTCCTTTCTTTTTTTCTTCCTTTGTTTTTCCCTGACTTCGTCTGCTGTCTGGACAACCAGACCTGACAGACCTACTGACCAAGAGCAAAGGTCCCACGTACCGCTTTGCTAGATAATGATGAATAGAAGTAAAGATGGCCAACAAAAATTATATTTTTTTTCCAACCCTGTAACTTGTTTCTGGTTGACTGAATGAAAAAAGCTTATTCCACAAAAATCGTAGACAAATGTGTGGTGAACAATTTAATTTTTCATTTTTTAAGATCTGATGCATAGTAACGAACCCGAACTCATAAGTTTGCTTGAATCACATAACCGTCAAAAATCTAATTTGCATGGAAAATATGATTTTGGGCTCTGTTTGTCATCCCCTTTCAGTCTAAAATTAAAACACAACTAAGGATTTTTCATGTAACGTGAAACTAGCATTTGACTGGAGTCCTCGTCGCTAACTTTTGAGTAGCTGCTCACGAGGCTTTCTGCAAATATTTTTGTCACGCAACTTACCGCAGTCATATTACCAGCTGTATACACTTGTTGGTCAGGAGGCAGGTATTTGTCATGGAGAATGAGTCCAACTCCATACCAAAAGGACAGCGCATAGCAGGCGTACACGAAGAACCAGAGCAAACCGTTACTCAAAGCATTGAACATGATACGTTTAACGTTGTTGTTTTTCGCTTTGACCAATTGCTCATTGTATCTTTGAATCTCCTTTCCCTGGCCATCGAACGCCACCACGGTCCGGATCGAGCTTAACACCTCCTCGGCTATGGCGCCGGCTGTGGCATATGATTCCATTTCTTCTTTGGACAGCTTTGTCGATATCTGAGGAATAAAGGTGTCAGCCAAAGATGTTGAACACAATTTATAAAATAGTTGGAAAGGCATTCTTATTTCTGAAAATTCATTCAGTTAGAAATCACAAACAATACTATACTAAGTGACATATAAATCCGAACACCCAGTTTAAATGGTTTTATTTTAATAAAAGTTGGTGAATGTATTTATCTTACTGTAAATAACAAGTGAAAAAATTTTCAGCCTTATCAGTTGGACATTCCGGTTTTTATACTGCTTTTTTTAATTCACTAACGCTCTAAAAATAAATATATCAGTCGCAGTAAAGAATCAACGTTGGCGGATTTTTTTTCTTGACATCCTTTACGATCGGTTACGATGCCTAGAGTACGGAGACCTGTACGATTTCGTCAACTTAGTGAGTTTGATAGGGGCCGTATAGTGGGACTTCGGGAAGCTGGACTTTCTTTTCGGGCAATTGCAGTTAGAGTGCAAAGAAGTGTAGACACTGTGGTTAGGTGTTGTCAGGCATGGCTTCGAGAAGGCCGTACGCAAAGAGCAAGGGGCACTGGACGCCGCCGTAGAACAACAGACCGTGAAGATCGCCGCCTAAGATTATTGGCCTTAAGGGACCGTTTCTCCACTACCAGGTCCATTGCAAATGAATGGTTTGCAGAATACGGAAGACCTATTGGCATGCGAAGTGTTTACCGACGAATGAGAAGTTTTGGCTTGTTTTCATACCGGCCACACTGGGTCCTCCCTTTAACTCGAGAACACCGACGTAATCGCCTTGAGTGGTGCAGACAACGGTCACTCTGGGATCAGGAATGGAACAGTATTGTCTTTAGTGACGAGTCTCGATTTTGTTTAGGCATGCACGATGGTCGTGCCAGGGTTAGAAGGCGACGTGGTGAAATGAGGAATCCACAGTTTTTTGTTGAAAGACATGTTCATCACACTGTTGGAGTTATGGTTTGGGGTGCTATAGCTTATAGTTCCAGGTCACCTTTAATCTTCATCAGAGGTAACATGAACGCGCAGCGTTATATCCACGAAGTTCTAGAACCCCATCTTTCACCCTATCTTGACACCCTGGCAGATCCAACTTTCCAAAAAGATAATGCCCGACCACATATTGATGTCACATTGTTACCATGGCCACCAAGATCTCCCGACTTATCCCCAATTGAGTACGTGTGGGATATGATGGGTAGGAAATTGCTCAATTTGCAACGTCCTCCTCAGACTCTAGAAGCACTTCGAGAGGAGTTGGTGGTTGCCTGGAATGAGATACCACAGGAGGACATTGACCACCTGATCAGAAGCATGCCTAGGCGCGTTGGAGAATGCGTAGCACATCAGGGTGCATCCACACATTATTAAAGGTCAAAGGACTTTAAAGCAGTGCAATCATTTTGAAATTTTTATCATTTACTTATTATGCTTCATTAAGTATTTATACAAAATTTTATTAAAATAAAACCATTTAAACTGGGTGTTCGGATTTATATGTCACTTAGTATATTTAAAGAGATTCTCGCACACACTTTTCACTCAACTACGCCACTGCAGTCAGCCTCGGTGCATATGATATTATAGTAATCTTACACTATCGCATATTGTAAATTGTTTATTCAAAGTTGTTTGTTCAGTTATATTGATACAGAAAGCCTAATCTATACATATTTACTTAATGTTTATAACCATAGGTGCACGTTACCTTGCTATAAAAAATGCGCTCACAAATAGTAGATCTTTAAACGCCAAACAACCATTTCTCGTCAAATTGATGATATAGGTTACATTTGATGAAAACGAATATTGATTTATGAGTTATGAGATCATCTTTCTATCAGCCAAACATTTGGCTAGCGTGTACCGAAAATCATTGGAGTATGCAGTTCCCAACGCAGCATTTTTAAACACCTATATCTTTGCAAGAAACTAAACAATTTCATAGCATTCCATAAGCCTCGTAAGTTTAATAACTCATTCACATGTTTTGAGATAAGTTCTGTATATTTTACCCATGTTATGAAGCTCATTATGGCAGATGACAGAGGCAAAGACACCATACAAACAAGCGCCAGCTTCCATCCATTTACTAGTGCCATTACTATTCCAGAGACAAAAGTAGCTTCAAAAAATATGAAGATACCTATCTTCTCTCCAATGCCGTCTTCTATTTTGGATATGTTTCTGTAAATATAAAATCGAAAATACATGTGTCAAAGCAAAAGAGAGTATGGATAGCAAGTTGTCATAAAGTAAAAAATGTCCCGTCTACTTACAAATTATGTCCTTACTTAGGAATGTACTAGCGCGCTAAGCTGTCTAGTTGTACGATAAAATGCTAAAGGGGTGTTCTGCGATTTTGTGTATTTCGAATTAATCATTCAACTGCAAAAGAATGCTTACTGTGTAATAGTAGTTGTAAATTCGCCAGACTGATTCTTGTCAAACCACTCGATATCCTGATTCAATATTTTCTCAAATAGGGTCTTCCTCATTTTTAAGATCTAAAAAATATCAGGGAAAGTTAAAATATGATCGAATAAGTTACAAATTGCAACAGATCTGATATTTATTGAGCAAAGTATATAGAAATGACAAAGACATCACTACAGAGCATCATACCCCCAGCATCTAATTATCTTCCTTGAACTTGGTTCAAAAAGAAACAGTTCAGTTGAAACTGGTATAACACCAACATATTTCATTTTTTACGCAGAGAATCTACAGTATATTCAGATAAGAGATAGACCGGATGTAAACAAAAGGTTCGGGTGATTTTCACGCTAACGCCGCCGTCTCGACGTAAAACAGGAGCCCTCATTGGTCAATTCGCAATTAAATGCCTAAGCCGAGCGGCAGAGCAGTCGTATCAAGGCAGAGTCACATTCAGGTTCAGACGTGTTACGTATGTCGTGTGCATCATTGCAATTTGATATTTCTTTGGACGTTTTCTTTTGTTATCTTATTAAGTTGTTGAGTTTGTCGTTGTTATTGTTATACCTTGTTATTGATTGTTATTGTTATCAACTGCTTGCGCAAAATGCCCAGTAGTACAGATACTGCCGATGAAGTTGTAAACTCCTGTAGTCCACCTAGGAAACGCTCTAAAAAAAGACACCTGAGTGCAGAAATGAAAGAGGTCATTTTGAATATATATAAGATCGAGCGCAAGGAGAACGAGGCATCAACCATCAAAGAAATTGTTGTGAAGGTTTCTCACAAAGTTGGGGTGTGTCGCGCATCAGTGTTTAATGTGTTAAGACAATACAAAAAAAATCACACCTTTTCTGAGCCAATGACCAGTAAACATCGCAAAAGTATTGTTAAATCATTGGATGAGCTGATAAGCATGCGATTAGGAGGAAAGTGCATGAATTCTTCTTTAGGAATGAAATACCTACTATAGATAAAGTACTGCAAGAGGTAAATGGAGATACAACGTTGCCAAATTTCAAACGATCAACTTTCCATGCGTTACTGAAGCATTTAAATTTCAAATGGAAAAAACGGGGTCGTAATAGTTTACTACTGGATAGAGAAGAAATTGTGCTATGGAGGAGGGATTATTTAACAAATATTGGGAAATATAGAAATCAAAACAGGAAGATTTATTACCTTGATGAAACGTGGGTAAACGCAGGACACACTACAAGTAAAGTATGGGTTGATGATTCTGTAATTTCATCCAGGAGGGCCTTTCTAGATGGACTGTCCACCGGATTAAAAAATCCAGCAGGTAAATACGAGTAATAGACAACAATCGGATGTTTTTGAAACCTTGGGAACAAGGTTCTAAATATTAATTCCAGGGGGCAGATAAAACATATTACAAGTAACAAAACTTTTATAACTTTCGATAAAATGCGTGGATGTTTTATTGTCATTTTCATTTGTTAGAACTTTTTTAAGCCATGTTTTTATGTGTTTTCGATATTTCAATAGTTTTTTAATATAATCTTAAAATATGTCGAATATTATAAACTTAAAAAAAGTTACTAAGTTTTATATTGTGTACCGTTCCTAATATTTCTAATCATTTTAATTCATACTTTAAGCTTTATAAAGTTATAATTTGTTAATATTAATATTTGCGCGTATTTCAGGTTCCTGATCATTCATTTTTTAAAGGTTTATAACTTTAAATTAAATTGTGAAGCGCTGAGTAATCATAGGACGTTCAATATTCTTTCTTTCAATATGACTAAATAATCCCAATTATAGCAATCTGATACTCATGTCTCAATGTTTTTTCGCTGAATGTGATGAAAACATTTGAAAAAGGTTCGCTTATTGAAATAAATCTACACCAGTTAGTACTTCGATTTCCAGGTAAAGGGAAAAGGCTCATTATCTGCCATATTGGGAGTGAGGATGGATTTGTTGTTGACGGTCTGTGGTGCTTTGAGTCTAAGAAAACTGGAGATTACCACGAGGAAATGAATGGCGAATCGTTTGAACAGTGGTTTTCAAAAATTTTACCGAACTTAGAGGAAAACGCAGTAATTGTGTTGGATAATGCGCCTTATCATTCTCGAAGAATGGAGAAGGTCCCAACAACGGCTTCAAGGAAAGTTGATGTTCAAAATTGGCTCCGCTCGAAAAATATCAACTTTGAAGAAGCAATGCTGAAAGTGCAATTATTAAGAATTGTCAAGGATCACAAGGCGGATATCAAAAATACGCCATTGACGAAATGGCAGCAAGTCAAAATAAAACTGTGCTCCGTTTACCTCCATACCATTGCGAGCTCAATCCCATTGAGCTCATATGGGCAGAGGTTAAAAATTATATAGCTAAGCACAATACAACTTTTAAATTTTGTGACCTCAAAGGACTTTTCAAAGAAGCACTAGAATTAATAACAGCGCAAAAATGGGAAAACTGTATTAAGCACGTGAAAGAAAAAGTTGAAAAGAGAATGTGGGAACTGGACAATATTTTAGAGGAACAAGTCGAGCGATTCATTATTGACGTTTGTGCTTCAGGCAGTAGCGATGATGAAAGCTCATCGAACTCATCTTTCCAATAAAAGATGTCGTTCATCAAATTCGGTAAGTTATAAGTAATTATAAAGCTACTGTATTTTTTAATTAATTATTGACATTTTTGAACCCATTTTGGCAAAACCTATTCAAGAATCTACTTTCTGACAATGTTCAACCATGCACATTTTTTTACGTTTTGAACGTTTTAATTTGGTTACATATTTACCTAGAAATCAAAAAATATACTAATCAATATTCTAAAAGCAATTTTAAGAGATATACGATTATTTTTAATTTAGGCTAATTTAAACGCCATTTTGAGATTATATTCGACTGTATTTCACCAAACATCAGGCGGCATCCGAAGCTGGAAATCGAAGCGAAAATTTTGAAACCCTTATGTATATTTACATCATTATATATTTCTTACACCACTCCCACATGATCCTATATCCATCACCAATCGTATACACATCGAATTGTGCTAATTTACTACAAAGTTACGCAAAGCAGCATCTACTATCTAAAATATGTACTGCGTGACTCTTAATACGTCCCTGCCGAATGTTACAGCGTTCGATGATCACGTGGTCTTGTTTATGTCCGGTCTATCTCTTATCTGAATATACTGTAGAATGCTAACAATACCGCACAATACCAACAAGTGGTAACGATACCTTAGTCTGTTTTAGGCCTTCTTTCGCTGGCTACAAATTCGAATAGGTTAGAAAGAACCAAGCCTATATATTTAAAAGGCAGTGCTTGTCTCCAGCATAACGTAGATTCAGTACATTTATAATCTCATGAGGCAATGAGAAAGCGTAAAATTACAGTTCATAACGCGAAACTAAAACATTTACTAAGAACTATTATATTCAAAATGGAAGTGGATAAGACTCAAAGTAAAAGCTGCAGTTAACCCTTTTCAGTATTCAATATAAATTCTGGTTTATCTTCAGTACTTCGCATTTTTCGATGTTGAGTATGACATTTTGTCAGCAAACCTTAGAATGGGCTTCAGTACTCAAAAAAACTGGAATGAAAATATTAAAACTCAATTCTCAAAACTGTTGGAAAAGTGCAAAGTAGAGGATTATGCCATTTCGCGTTACCGATGGCATAAGTAACTTAATGCAAAGAACAGATTATTATTACCCTGATGCACAGTGTCAAGCACTGTCAAACTGAGGGCTTAAGTTTGATCGACTTCTAATTTGCACTTCCATACTTAACTACTGATTGCGTAGTTTTCGTTCAAAACAGGTCGATTGCATGCTACTTTTACCTAGTCCGAATTCATTCGTCACTAGGGTAAGATACACCAAGACTAGTGTGTCTAACTCATGATCGATAAACGAGGCAGTTATATATACCTGATTAGTAGAGCTGTATCCAAACAGCACAGTATACACGTACGTAGCAACAACCATGATGAAACCCACAACAGCGCTAATTATTGCAAACCTTTGTGTCTCCCGCCACAAAGTGTCATTCAATCTCGCCTTTTCCTGCTCCGGTAATGATTCGTCAAACGTTTCTGCATAGTCCACTATAGCTCCTGTCACTTCTCCAAACAATATCATTACTATAGGGTTGATTGCACCACAGAGTGTCGCACATAGGCATGCTAGTATTATGCAGAACTTGTCTAATGCCGTGGAAAATTGGAACTAGAAGCATAGTAAAATCAATGTGCCACACAGAAGATTTGAAGAAGTTAAACTCTATTTCTTGAAAGCTGGAGAGGTTTTGTTTTCTCATGTTAAGAGTTGTTGTAAAAGATCTCAAATTATCAAAGAACCCTCATGAAAAATGGGTTTTGGTTAAACCTCTCTGGCAAGTATTTCAGGTTGACTTTTTATGATCATTTAACAGATATTTTGGCAGCAAAACTGAATTTAGTGTCAATAGTCTTATCACTCTCTAAAGAAACAATTTGAGGAAAAACAAATTTCCAGCAAAAGTGCTTGCCTACTGTTTTAAACTCAACTTTATCAACAGATCGAGAGAGCTTTATCTTATAGTTATGCTCCAGCAAAAGTATCGAATCCGAGAAAAGTAGTGCTCGAAAAAAAAATATGTTAGAACACGAATTTACGCAGGGTTGGTAATCTGTAGTAAGCTCATACAGGAATTGCAAGATAATAAAGTCATATGAAAAGCATTAGGTGTGTCTCCTCAACATTCTTTGAGATCTTGAAGTAATTACAACTTGAACGGATATTTGGCTGATTTGGTTCTACAGGGACGTACCAGACTAAACAGAACTTCTTTGTCGTTGATATTGTTTTTGGGGAAAAATGCATTCGGCTAAGGCTATGACGTGTCATCAAGGACACCTCACAGTCCAACTGTATGGATCGCTACACTGATGAGGGTTCTCAAAATGAAATTAATATGACGGACACATGTGCTATCTTGAATAAATCTTGTTTGAGTGCTTGTGTTGGTGTCTAGCTTTTTCATGAAATACTTACTAGTCTGTAGTATGGTATAGACCCTACACGTTGCTTCTTTTCCGTTGACCTGAAAGATCAAAGAACTTACTCAAAAATAAAAGGTTGCCTTTAAGTGGCTGGTAAACACCCGGTAATTATCGCAACTAAAAGTATGTTCTCTGAATATATTTATAGGGTAGCTGATTCTTTATTCGAGTCATGGGCCAAGAATTAGGTACTCGACTCGATTCACGGATTTAGCATCTATGGCTGTGTTTGCTTGCGATTACAGTACCTTGGACCACCGCTATCATATTTTTTTATACGACTTATTGTTGGGTGTAATACTAACTATGATGGTTCGGAGATTTGAGTTAATCTCTTCTGAAACTAGTTTCGGATATTTTTACTTTTAAGTTACTACTATTTTGACCTTAATGTGAGTAACTTCAATACTAATTAGCATCATAAACATCACTTTTTTTGTTATCACATTGTAGTTAATTGAAACCTATTAAAATATTAACTTATGAACTTACTTATGCTTATCTCAAACTTAGGTGTACTTATATGTTACTGGGAAACCTGCCTATTTTTAAAAGAACTATACGCAGTATAAATTAATGTCTCAAAGAGCACCCTGTATTTTTCCTTTTAAATTCTGCTAACATTTGCCTCATTGCAAATGTAGTCTAAAAACCTTCCTGTACATGATGCCTTCCGATCGTATGGTAAGAACGACGTATCTGACTTTTGGCTCTCCGCGTATGAGCTCATTATGAACATGCAATATCACTGAAGTGTAAAAATCCACTATATCTGCCCCAGCCCTCTGACACTTTCTCATTCTTGGAACTTGCCATAGACTTTGTAAAAGGCTGGCATGAATGTGTATATATATATACAGGGTGGCCCATCCATGTGTGGACGGAATATTACTCATAAACAAATACATTTTGGGAAATTGTATTTACGGGATGTTATACATGACATTTGAGGGCACATTTCTAAAATATTGGCCATTATACATGGTGTCCCAATTTCGACCTACATATCAAAGTTGTGATTTCTCAAATGGAGTGCCTCAAATTTCATTGCATATTTGGATATATCAATTCAGAAGAAGAAAATTGATATAACACTATGGTGTTTTGGTAATTAGCTACTGAGATATAAGGTCTAGAAAAACCCCCCACTTCGGCAACCCTCAGTCCGCCATTTTGAAATTTGGAGTGCTGAATTTAGTATCAAAAAACTTACACACCTCAGCTTTTACCATATTTATTACTTTTTCGAATTTTAATGTTTGCTCATACTGGGTGATCAAAACACAAATTGTAGTTTACCTCAAAAATTTCAAATGCATCACCCTGTATATTTGTGTAAGTTTGTATTCAATTCTTTATAAGCTTTTTTTGATACTAGACACATAAGGGTTTTTACGGCTATTTTTTCGGTTATTAACACGTCTTTTATGGAACAGCTTAATTCCCTAAAATATCGCATCATCCTTGGAAACAAATAAATTGTTGATTAGTTACAAACTGTCAAATAAGCTTTGTGAGCATTATAATAAAAATGTGTTTGAAAATGAATTTTTCTAAAGAAGAAATGGTGAATATGGTGTTCGTTTTGCGCGAAGCCCAAAGAAATAGTTTTTAACATCTCGCATTTATAAGCAACAGTACCCTAATATGCGACATCCAAGGCCGCAAACATTTTCCACACTACGAGAACGTTTTGAATCAAGTGGAGCAGTGGAATATAGTAAAAAATGTATAAATAATCCAAGTGTCACCAACGAGGCAAATCAGTTGGAGGTTCTATTAAAGTTGCAGGAAAAACGGCAAATTGGAGCAGAAACTGATATATGCAGAACTTCTGTCCAAAGGATTATTCACAAGTATAGGTGCCATCCATATCATCTTTTGACCGAGCATTTTCCCTTGCTTTTGAACAATCGTTGGATGGGTCATGATGGACCTATATCTTGGCCTCCTAGATCACCAGATATGACACCGATGAACTTCTTTCTATGGGGCTACGTTAAGCAAGAGGTATATAGATATCCACCATGGAAAATATGAAGGAAAGGATTAAGGATGCTTTTTTGAACATAAGGGAACACATGCTGAGGGATGTGCAATGGTCATTTATCCAAAGACTACGGCTGTGTATTCAACATGGTGGAGATATTTTCTAGCACTTTTTGTAAATTAGGTATTTAGTAGTGATAGTTGTTTGTTTATGTTATTATAGTTGTTTTTCTCTATTACGCTTGAAGCTGATTTATACTGTTGTGATTGTTATTAGTTTTTACGTCAAATCTGTACTTTTAATGGCAATATGTAACTAGCCCACTGTTTGTCTTTTGTTTCCATGGATGAGGTGATTTTTTTTCTTAATTTTGGTGTGTTCTATTAAAAGCTTAATAACTCAAAATCTAGTGATTTTATCTGAATCAAACCTTATACCAAAAAAAGCTTATAAAAAATTTTATCCAAACTTGCACAAACATACAGGGTGATGCATTTGATTTTTTTGAGGAAAAGTAGAATTTGCGTTTTTGACCACCCTGTATGAGCAAAAATGCAAATTTGAAAAAAGTAACAAATAAGATAAAAGCTGAGGTATATAATATTTTTTTTATACAAAATTCAGCACTCCAAATTTCAAAATGGCAGATTGGGGGGTTGCCGAAGTGGACGGCTTTTCTGGACAAAACACCTCACATCTCAATAGCTCATTACCAAAACCCCATAGTATGTCATATCAATCTTCTTCTTTTGAATTTGAGGCATTCCATTTAAAAAATCACAACTTTGATATGTTGGTCAAAATTGGGACACCCTGTATAATAGCCAATATTTTAGAAATGTGCCCTCAAAGGTCATGTATAACATCTCATAAATAGATGATCCCAAATGTATTTGTTTATGAGTGATATTCCGTCCACACATGGATGGGTCACCCTGTATATATATATAAATGTATATATAACAAAAAGTAGGAAAATAATGGGCAAAATCCGCAAAAAACGTTTTTTTTCCTCTCCATCTTCGTTTCCTCAGGTTACACCCGTATCCGGATGTGTGGGCATGTGTATCTACTTTGGTAGAATCATATGTGCATTCATTCCGAGCCTGATAAAGCCAACCAGCAGAAATACGTATCGCTCGGGTTACCTATCCTATTTTCTGCTCGAATACACTTTCCTCCTTTTTGCGGATTTTGCCCATTATTTTCCTACTTTTTGTTATATACCTTTCTCCGCATGATCATTTTCTCTTTATATATATATATATATGATTCATACGCAAGAAGTGATATGGTTTGTTCTAACAGTTCGAACAATAGCTTCAAAAAGAATTCTCTTCGTCGTCGCATCTAAGAGCCGTTTTACACACAAGAGAATTACTCCGAAAATTATGGTCATAATTATATCGAAAATTTTTGCTGTCGTATTACACGTAAAAGAATTCTTGTGAAAATTTTCATGGTAAAAATATAAAACTCGTTCTATAGAATATGCGCGAGAATCGACGCAGAGGGTTATTTCCATGCATGTCAATATCAAATGTCAACGTCAACAACATAACCTCACTTAACAATTGTAGGTGTGGTCCTGTTCGAGTCGTACGAAGAAGCGTTTATTATTATTGTTTATTCATAATGTTCTGGAATCGGGAAGAAGTTACACTGTTGTTGGAGGAGTACCAAAAATGGCCAAACCTGTACAAGGTGAAGTCACGCAATTACAAAAACAAAAATTTGCGGCGTCAGGCGCTGGATGCGATAGTCCCAGCATTGAGAAGTTTTATAATATTAACCAAGATCTCGAATCCAAAAATAAATTTAAATCAACGACGTCTGTTGTCTTTCCGATTATATTGCACGTCATACCCGTTAAGGTTATGTCCATTCGAAATATTCGAAAATATTACTCTAATGCGCAGGCGTATCATATGAATTACTCGGAAATTTTGTTTGCTTGTGTCATACAGGTTATAGAGAAAATCTTCAATATTTTTTCATGCAAATTTCCGGCATAATTGTGACCAGAATTTTCGGAGTAATTCTCTTGTGTATAAAACGGCTCTAAGACTATACAATGAAAGCGCAGTAGAGAAAAACAATGTTATTCTAGATAATTTCACTAGCCCTGCTCCTTTGTTGGATTCCTGTGGTGCGACTTCTTGTTGTTAAATTTCAAATGTTCCATGAATATCCTCAGTTTTGGTGGTGTTTCCTTTAGTTGAGGAAGAGAAAGAAGAAGAATTGTTATTGCTTTTCGATCTTAAAAAGTCTGAGGCTAATCAATTGTGCATGGTGCTTCAGCAGTTTTTATGTGGTTCTTCAATTAACTAGCACTCAGTTAGCATTCCTGCTTAAACTCAAGTATGAAACTAAGCTCCTCGGCTACTCTTTGCGCTGCTCTAAAAAGAAAAGCTCCCTTAACCGCACTCTTGTGCTCACGCACAAAGCGGATGAGGAGATCGGCATGGGTATTACGCATCTTGAAAAGTGACATTATGTCGCTTTTTTTATATTATATTGGTTTTTGTGACATTATTTTGGTTTTTCTACAACATGTTAACTCAGCACTAGCTGATGGACACGTTGTGAACTCGTTTTGTAGTTGCCTAAACGTCATCAGGCTTTAGTTATTGATGTTTGGCTCTGATGTAATGTAAAATCTGCTTCAGAGATGGCATTACTGGAGGTAACGGCAATGCGAAGGTGCATAGTGAGGATTTGTGTGCTAATAATATGTGTTGCTGATAATTCCATTGGATTCTTGTCTCAAATGCACTTACTTGAGATTCAAAGCTAGAAATTAGTTGCGCTTCCACTTTTTCTTAACCATTCTGGAAATTACATATGCAAATTTGCTGAATTCACTGTACACTGTCGAATTACAAGTCATATACTCGTACATGCTAACAGTAATTACACACAACGCGGGCGCGGTGGTGATTTCTCGTAATTCTCCTAAAAGTTTTTGAAAACACAGCAAATATCACTGATTTTATACACAGAGAGATGAAAATTATAGACTACTCGGCTTCACAAAACATATGCAACCAA